CAGGTATTCAGCGTTTAGACAACGCTTTAACCAGTAACACCGTCTCCTTTGAATCGTACCCACCAAGTGAAATCAAAAGAAAGAAGCGAGGAGGTTCGAAGATATATTTGATAGGCTATCAATATATTGAAGATCGTCTGATCTAATTTGGCTAGCGATTGCAGTAGATGTTGAGCACGGCGTTTCCACTCATGAGCTGGTACGGATGCATGACCGAAACGCCTTCAGCTAGGTGAGTGCATTAAAACTAATGTGGTCAGCATCCAATATTGGAAACTTACAGCTGCTACAATATCAATAAACGGCAGGGAAATATTTTACGCTTTAGAAACCATTTCACTGTTAACAAGATGGTTAATAGATTGAGATAATCGCTTAATAGACTTTATTTCGGTTACACTTTTATTTTACATGAGAATCAACTGAACTCTACTCATTTTAGTCCTACCAACGTTTACTCATTATGTTATCACTTGTTTCCGGCCATTTGAACTGTTGTCATAATCAATGCTGTAGAATGTTCTTTTACAATATTCAGTCTATGAAATTTATTTACACCCTTGCTATACTATACTAATGTGTCTTCAATATAACTTCCAACCAAACCCTCTCGTGTAAGTAATTTAAACCCATTATATAATCGTGATTTTTTTGAATATCTCAGGTTGTTAACAGCTGATGAGAAGCAAACGGAATAAAATGAATTCATGCTATTCTGTTAGAATGTTTGTTCTTGTCCTTATCAAAATAATAAAGGCAACTTTGTGCATGAAAAGAATAAAGTTTAATAGATAAAACTATACCATCAGTATCATGGTATTAACTTTTAGTTTTTTCAAAATGTAATGATGATTGTCATTCATCTGATGAAAAATTATCATTATATGGTAGTTAAAACGGTTAAGATAAATTTGGAAAACACCACGTTTTATTGTGTGAGTTAATTACTCTAAAAGCAGAAAACACGCGACATTTACACTTCTTCTGGCAGAAACAAATGAATTCCAATGATCAAATAAGGTCACAAGGTGAACAGACATATCTCTCTATTGCAAAATATTTGGTTGAAACTGGTCATCAGGTCGATATCAGGTCAGCCTTTTTAGTGTTGTACAAAAGTCTTTAAGAGCGTATATTAAGGTTGATTAAAGCCTTGGCTATACGGAAACTGCCTTCATGTGTTTAAAAACTATTAAAAACCCTAACCTACTCTGGTGATATTGATTTATTATTCAGAGTAGTTATCACATTGTTTTTGTTTACTTTATTTTTCTTTGTTATTGCTTACCCTCAATCTGTTTGGTTGATCTTTTAGTTTACATATACAAATATCCTAACAAGTACATTGCGTGTGATCAGATTGTTCGAAATGTATTGCGCAAACATATATCGCATAATTCTGATCACCTTCGTCTTCTTATTGCATTATCGAAATCTATCAAAGGGACTAATTAGTTTAATTCCGATGCAATAAAGCAGTTAATAATAAAGCTAGCAGAATGAATATATGCGTAGGCGGTAAGCTATGGTCAAAGATACATATTTCATACAAGCACAATAATAATAAAGGTACAATAAGCTGTTATAGTACGGATGACTTTGTCCGCTAAATAAGTTAACAAAAGGGCTTAACTGAGTTGAATGAGAACAAACTCAATCGCACGTGAGTTGCTCTAGTTTCTTAGATATTTTTTCAGAATTGTACTGTACCCAACGTTGTTCGATGACTGTTTAATAAATTAATTTATTCAAATATTGCTTTATCACCTATTTCAGTGCATTTAAATTCATTTTGTATCGTTTGTTTGAATCTTCTTATTGATGTTTAAGACTGCAATTGATCGGTCTCTTATTGGCCTATGTGAATCCTATACAGATTGCTTCGATATTGCCTTAAGTCACGAGTATTATAAGCAAAGGTGGATGGTGCCTTGCAGTAGAATCCACCAGGTGCGTTTTGTCCTATTTGAGACTCCTCAGCTGGATGTACCTGCATCCCAGAATTGTTCACTCAGTAACTCGACACTGATCAATTGCAGTCCTAAACATCAATGGGAAGATTCAAACAAACAATAAAAAATGAATTCAAACTTCACTTCATTGCACAAGCCAGTGGCTATCAGGACTCAGTAGTCAAGCGGGTAACGCGATGGCGCTTGAAGCGACGGTATTGATTCGATTCTTGTATTGAACATCAATTCTCGGGTGCAGGTGCATCCGGCTGACAAGTCCCAAATAGGACGAAACGCGCGTCCTGAATTCCACTACTAGCCACCATCCATCTTTTCAGTACATTTTTTATGAATTATTTCACTGTGTAAGAGAGAACTTATAGAATTTACAATCTGTGATTTAATCTTATATCATTACAATAAAGTCCGTTAATTCTCGAACACTATCGAAGTTTGTACACCTAATTAACAAAATTAACCATCAATAAAGTCAATCAGGAGAAAAACAGATTGGTTTTAAGAAAGAACTTCATTTTTTTAACTCTAAAGGCGACAATTTGTAATGTGTTGTTTGTAGTTTTGACAATAATTAGCAGTGGATTCTACAAAATCTACTTTGTCTTACATGAAATTTACCAACTGAATGCACCTCAACTCGAAAATTTATGTTCCATACTAGAACCCAAACCTTATTGTTTAATACCAACGTCAGAATATTATTCACCAGCCTATACATTAACGTCAAATGTTTCCAACTAAATAAATAATTTGTGATAATACAATTTTCCAAACTAACTTTAACAGTTCTTTTTCATTAATAATCCTATATTACTTCAAACAGTCAATTGTATAACAAACTACCCAGCTATGATTCAACATCTATACACTTAGTAGATTATAACAAGTGATCCCGGATACTGTTAGAGGTATGAAAACAGTTGTCTGTTTCCAACCCCTTGTACATTGAGCAGTATGACTTCACCTTCGTACCTTAAGTTGCTGATTTTAGTCTTACTATCCTCCAGCCGACCTATCTGTCATTGCAAAACCTAGGAAAACAACTGTTCTAGCTAATGTATGTCGACTAAGTTGTCAGAATACGCAACCTCGACACTACCTCAAGGCAGCAGCTATAGTTAACCTATACAATTGATTCACAGTCGTTATGTATTGAGAATTACACCAATGAACAATGTTCACGTCATATGGTTTTCCTTCTCTACGCCATCAAGACAAATACATGCTGTTTTATTCAGGTTTTTAATATACAGTACTACTAGTACATGGATGAGTCACATGGTTACAATTTAAATATAAAACTGTCAAAAACCACTCAAGAAACACCGACACAATGACTCGGAAAAATTGATGTGAACTATGGTAGAATGAAATGCGCAAGGCTACAATATATATATATATATATATATTCCACTCTGCCAATTTACGTCAATTTGTTCCGAGTCATTGTATATATAATAGAATAAAATCAACATATTAAAGGAATGCTGATACTTGGTGTAAGTGATTAGTGTAGGAAAAATCAATACCACAAATTATACGGTATCTATAGTTTGAGTAGCATTAGTAACTAGAAGTAAATCTGAACAGTGGCTGAATGATTAGATTAAATACAAGACACAAAATTGTAACGTTGCGCAGTATTGACTAGATATCTAAAGAATCGATGACCTATGACTTAAGTTGAAAAAGTAGTTCGGAAGAGTCCCTAGTACGAGTTATGGATTTATTTCAATGGCTATCATCGTTACATCACAATAACTTACATCATGAAGTGACCTAACTTATACAGCCACTGAAAATCATAACCACTGGTAGCTGCACTCACTAGTCTTTAATCTTAAGGGGTGATTCCCGGTGTTCTAATGAGAAGCCATAACCACTGAAGATGGATGATGGCCATATAATATTGTAAATTTAATGAAGTTAGAAATCCAAACTATAAGACGCTGTCTCATCTGGTGTAATTGCTCGTTACGAGATTTGGAGATCTGGGGTTCGACCCCAGTACGTTTGTAGATACGCAATGCCGAGGAGTCCCACGGGAGGACGAAATTACTGTCCAGTGCTTCCTGGTTCTCAACGGTTACTTCGTGATGTTAGCTATGAGATTAAACACTCCACCAACCCATTACCTACCATAAACGGTTAACAAAATTAATCAGGTGACTGAGGTGATCAGATTGGTAATTTATATCAGGAAATCAATACATAAATCCAAACTAAAAGACCGATACACTGGTCTTCACATGACCTGATACAACTGGTGAATAGAAGCTGTCATCTTACGAAATATTTAACTAATTTAGTTGGCTTGGCGAAAAATGTTACAGAGCAACCAGTAATCCAACACTTCCGTTCGATATATCACCATAAGAGCAGTAGACATTTTACTGCTACTTGTAACATGCGCCTGAATGCCGGATTCCAAGGGGAAACTGAAAATGTTTTACTCTACTTTCCTGACCAATAAGGGAATCTTAGGTAAATTTCCGTTTTCAGAATTTCAATAAAAGCTAAAAATGTGAGATTGTCAAATGACTTAATAAAGTCAATGTAAGTTAAACTCCCTGGCTTCCTTTTATCTAAAGACTGCTCCTAGCTCTCTCTTGATGGTGGAGAGTTGATTGTGTATTGATCAACAAGAAACTTCTTGTTAGATTACGAAAATATAATGGTCTTAATAATTCTTATCAACATTTTTACAACAAAATGGTCAACGAATCGATTTGTGTCACTTGGATCCTATTTTGTGGATCGAGATAATTATGGTAGATCTCCAGTCCAATGGTAAAATACACTGGATGCTTCAAGTTCTGAATATTACTATCAGGAGAACAGGTAGTTTTTAATATAAATCCTCAGCGATTTAACTTCAAAAGAAAAGTATCCTCTACAAAGCTATTCATAATGTAAAAGCTAGGTATTATTTTTGAATTATAAAATACTTGATAAATGAATAGATTAATGCAGAAACTAATTCTGAAACATGGGAATTCAAAGAATAATAGAAAATTTCTGAAATCATGCCACAGACTAACCAGTAACCGTATCTATATAGACTTAATCTACAAATCTATACGGAAACAGACAACCAGTTACGCGAAAAACGACCAATCAAATAAAAATACAAACCAAAAGTTAACAAAACTACGAAGACAAGAGTTACAGACAAATTCGTCAACATAGACTGATTAAACGCTTGTAGAATAGTAATTAAGCAAGGCATTTTTACGTCAACAAGACACTGAACATGTTGTCCAGAACAACAACGAAAACTTTACAATCCAACCATTAAGCTTAGAGAATTCAATAAAATCAAAAGAAAATAACCAGTCCTAATTCTTTATCAAATGGCTCCAAACACCAATACAGAGAAATATAATGATTACATTTAAGTTGTTGAAGAGTTGTAATCTCATTTTATCAATTCAATATAAGTCATAACCGATTAAAAAAATAAGGGATGGATTAGTAACAGGGAAACAGGATACAAAACTTAATTTCACATTAAAATAGAGATTTATTTCTTCGTTTAATAACATAGAAATATAATATTCGGGTAATGAAAATTCATACAACAGTAGGGTACGCATATGACATCATTTCATTCGAGTGAAATTTATGGCTATGATCAAGTGGAAAATATAACCAAGTTACTTAACTAAAAAGAAAATTTACAAATATCTCACTTGTTTAAGAATTATTATCATATAAAATGATCATTACAAATATGCATACAAGGATATATATGTACGATTGATCAATATTATTAACATCAGGATCCTGATGATCAGAATCTCCCCTTTCGTATTGTTGTCATTAACTGTGGAATGTCTTTAGAAGAGTTTCGAAATATAACCTGTTGTGATTGATGTCCAGATAATAATATAATAAACATTGTTCCAGTAGTCCAACACATGAATCAAACAAGGTCTGAAATATAGAAGAAAATTACTTCTATTATTAATATCAAAAGTTAACTGTTTTTGTCAAGTTGGATTGTGACATAAGTGCATCCTAGATGATCTTCAATTTAAACAAGAGTACTAATTAAAGTTTGGTTATGGATAGCAGCGGAATCGAAGACTCATACTTTGTCCTATTTACGACTCGTTAGCTAGATGTACCTGCATTGCTGTATTGGTGTTCTTCACACTGAGAACCGAATGCGAATTCGCTTCACATCCCAACGCACTATCCATTGACCTACTGAGTCCATCAAACTACTAACTTGTTCAACGGGCATAAATTTGTTTTGAAGTGCGCTTGGTTATTGTATTTTAGGACCTAATGGTTTAATATGTTTTGATGAACTGTCACTTTTATAGATAAACCAATCAGGATTAATGTGTATTAAGATTTTTATGCGAAATTAAAAGTAGTCCTGTAACAGCAAAGAAAACACATTGGAGGAGGAAAGATTAACAGTTAATTGATGTGCTTCATTATTTATCTTGTGAACAGGGTCAAAAATGAAAACACCATGGATTAATGCTACAACTGCATAAGCAAAGTGAATGAATGGTTGTAAGCTGCTACTGGTTTGACGATTTCCACATTCTGTGCATTACACTATACTTAGTGTGTTGTTATACATCATCCACCTGATCTAGAAATCTTCTCCACCATCTCAAAAACTAGTAACTTATTTTACTGACCCGGGATTTCTCGGTTGGTGTCCCTAGTTGTGTGGTTATTGTTAGCATGTTCTGAGTCCATTGTGAAGAAATTCTAATAGCTCACTTTTTGAAGAAGAATTTCAACTGTTTCGGGTTGATAATAAGTTAACCATAGTAATATACCGTGGAGACAACCCGAAGAAAAATGGATACTATGACCGCTAAAATCAACTATATCAGTTGTGAAGCAATTATTATCAATAGTGGTCATATGATAACTGTTGAGCTATATCTCAAAGCTGGCTGATACTTGACAGTATATTGATTTCCCAATCATCAAAATAGAAAGTATTAAGGTATTTCTTCGTTGAGAGGGAGTAAATTACAAAATCTAATAAACAAAAAATTAGGTGAGACTATAATTTATGGACTACCTTCGGGCGACGCTAAACTGACCTTGAGTGTCCACCTAATAACTAGGACCAAATGAGGCTTAAAAACCAGTGCTAGGAATCAGAATTATGGTTGGCAGTTGATGATCAAGGTTAGGAATTAAATCTCGGGTTTTCATCACGAACTGACGTCAGCTATAATGCCAAAACTCCATTTATCCAAATGGATGAGTGAATTTCGCGCCAAAATTGGAGACCTGTTATTTTATACGTGATTAGTTCGTCCATAAATTATAGTATCGTCAAAAATTACCAACCAGTAAATATGTGAAAGTGAAGTGGTAACATATGACGACGTAAAAGTACTCATCATCAATCGGAAAGTGAAATAAAACATGATACGCAGCGAGGAAGGTGAGTGAGCGAAATAATGTAACCAAGCCTTAATCGATATTTATAGTCACACAAAAATAAGCTACAGAAATGTGATGATTAGGATAAGTGGTGCATATATATGCGCTCACATAAAAACAGTCAAGGTTGATAAGTTACAAGGTCAAAATGTAGCTTGAGAAAAATGATTAAATTGGTCTGTGTACAGAAATGAGAATAACCTATGTGGGCTTGACATGTGGCCATTCACTACACATAAGCCAATTACTTCAAATTCAAGTGTGGCTAGACATCACATCAACTGATGTGGCTTAAGGTCGAGGACATTAACTTGAACATGGCAATTAAGTATATGCTATGTTGGTATGAGGAATCATTTGTGTATTTTAGAAAACTGTTTTTCTTGATGTAAACTTGATCCACATGACTGATCGTCTTTATTTAATATATAAATGAAATTATGAATAAATTTGAAGCAAAAATCCCACCTATTTCTTGGATCCAATGAAATGCATTGACTTGTCATGTTTAATAATATTGGTGGTGTATTGATAGGAAAATTTTCTAGCTTCATTAATTCATTCATTTCTATACACAAAGTTTTTGCATCACGTATTAAGTTATCTGGATCAGCATTTGTACGTAGAATTAATTGACACATAATTGTACCAAATGAATATACATCTACTGAATTATCATATGGTTGACCAGCTATCATTTCTGGAGCCATCCAGTATGGACTACCAACCTTTTTATAATTAATCATGAGGAAGAGGGAAACAAGAGAGTTATATACAGAAAAGGATATTTAAAATACAAGAACTTCATTATTTCAGTGAGTTATACAGGCTGGCACATATATGTATCGGTTCAAATTCACATACCATATCAACACAGGAAGATTAGATCATCGAACTAGTAGAAATAGCTATAGCGGAAAATTTTCAGATATAGCCAATATGATTAGAGAAGAAAGAATAAAATTGACCAGTAAAAATTATGAATATTTTAAGAAAAAGAGTGGAATATATAGGTCAATGTGACTGGTTTTGGTTAATGCCACTCAAGGTATCTAACCGATGGTTACGATAATTGCGCGGATCCTAACAAGGGAGCCTACATCTATTTAAACAGCTCGGTCCAGTAGTCAATAACTTTATGAACTGATGTTATATCTTGGTTTGGTTGCCTTTAGCTTTCTTCCAACGACTCCTATAATATTGTTCGTGAAGGTAGACAGTGGTTGGGTATACGCAATACATATCCTAATCACTTTAATCGTTGAATGTTTACTACTCATCGATTGGTTGACTATCTTTACCTAGTACTCTGCATTTAAACTCAGACATTTTTTATTTAAGACCAGTATAAATCATGGGTTTAGGGACAAAACTATCCAAGGTTATGTCGTTGGTCTGAACCTAAGTGGATTTAGGCAGATGTGATAATGGTGTGGTGAACAAGAATTTAGTTGAGGACAACCAAATTACCGAGTATCTTGCTGAAATATAAGAATCGTAAACTGAATACTTCATTTGAGAATTCCCATCATTTGTCTTTCACATTCGTATAATTCGTTCAGTCCACAATTCCTTTCAATTTTCCTTTTATTCTCTTCAACTCGATCTTTTTAGCCTTCAGCTACCAGGTTTTCCACTTTCGGTGTTACGTACTACTTATGTCGACAGACATAAGTAACATACACCACAGTAATATTAATAGTCTTCACATATAGCGTGATTTGCAGCTGAGCATATGAAATATTTGGTAAAAGTAAATTATAATATTTAATAATATTGGATTAATCGAAACAAGTTCATTAAAAATGGACTTTTGTATAAGTGTAGTGTATTTGTAGAATTGGATGATCTTATGGCTAATAAAAATGATTTTAGAAACAGTGAAATAGACTCTTATTAGTTTTCCTGAAAAACAGTGTTTTAATACCTTTGTTTATTCTACCTTACTGTTACTGTGGTGTGGGTTACTTATATCCACATAAGTGGTACGTAACGGTGGTCAGGCATAGAATGTATTTAGTAGAAGATTGATAAGGAAAGAACGGGAACGGAACGCAATTGGTATGAAAATGCATGAACGTGAAATCTGAGATAATGGACTGATATTTACAAAAGGAACAGTCAAGTTTGAGACGATGGATTGATATTTTGCAAATTAACTTATAGTGTCGGTTATGTTAAGCCCATATACTTATTCTAGATTTCGGACAGCCCATTCTATTCATTCTACTTGAGTCACATTCTGACCTTGTCATTTATTCGCTTATCAATCTTCACTGTTTTTATATGAGCGCGTAGGTGTGTGTACATTTCTTATCCCATTACTCATCACGTCTGTAACCTACTTTTGTTTAGCTATAAATATTGATTAACGTTTGGTAAAATGGGAGTTGGCTTACCAGCCATCTCCACTCTGTATCGTTTCTCTTCTCTCTGTTCCGTTCGCTTTATATACAAAATATAAGTATTCACAAGTCCATTCTCGTTATTCGACTTATTTAATTCCGTTATTGATTAACACAATTTAAGACGATGACTATATACGAGGATAGGCGATAACAAACATTCATACGATCTAATTGTAGTCAGATCTCGAGCCACTAAAGTGGAGAGCCCTTTCGACAACATCGTCCGATCTAAATGACGACAAAAATAACGGGCCCCACAAACTATCTACTAATTGATTCTCAGATTTTATTGAGATGCTCTGTAATTTCGTATCCAATACACTAAACTGTTCCCACTCGTGTTCTTGTTCACTATATTCAACAAAATTTTATTGCCAATATTATTGTAATTATTATCATACTGTAGAAGTACGTATATATTTGCCGAAAGCAGAACTCTCCACTGAACTAATCTTTCTTATTTTATGTCTCAATGGGCATATTCTATTTACTAGAAACTGTTGTAAAGCTCGGTTTTACTTTGTCTAATGTTATAACGGTTGGGTTTCCACTTTTACACGAATTGGACGTAAATTACCTTAGACGAATATCTACATTATATTCCCTCCCAGTGTCTGTTCTAAAGGATATCAACATGACTCAGATCAAGAACACGTGATTAGCCTGATCACAACGTAAATATATATTCCACACCAAAAACCCGACACAATCCAACAACAATGAACAATCAATAATAAGTGAGTAATAAGGATAGGGGAATATATAACTCGCCTGACTCCTATCAGACTATCTACATGTCTGACTAAGCGATAACCAATCATTATCATTCTCGCCCACACATCAGAAACATACTGTGTCATGAAGTTATTGTTAAAATGGTATAAAATTCGAGATCACATTGTAATTCAGTATGATACTTAAAATGGTATATTTTTGTCCAGTATATTTGTGGTGAGACTTTGATTTATGGACGACCCTGGAAAGATACTAAAGTGACCTCGAGAGAATCCACCTACCTACTACGATCGGAAGAAGGCCATAAATTCGTGTGAGAAATTAGGATCGGGATTTAGAGTTAGGAATTAAAGTTATCATCACGAAATGACATCAGACATAGTGCTAAAACGTTAGGATAGACTCCACTTTCGTTCGTAATTTTGACCGTGTACCTGGCAACCAACCAAAATGAAGTGGTAATCATTATCCGCACTATCGTAAACCATGATGGAGGGTATGTTTATTTCTCTATCGTTGTTGGTCGCTTACATGAAAAATATAGTTTTCTACGACGAAAATACTACTCTATAGTGCTACGGACGTGTCAACTGTAGTGCACTCAAGTCATGATGGAAGAAAAATTACAACATAGCAAAAACCATTTCTCCAATTTATCCTAAAATATAAATTACCCCAACATATCCACAATTGAGTAACTAAGTAAACGACATAATAACCGTAATTACTGACCACGACACACTCAGACGAACTAGGTCGTATTTTGCCATATAGGTGAGTGAATTTCTCGCCCAAGTCCGAGACTTGACATCTTAAATCTAATTGGCTCGTCCAAAATTATAGTCTTGCCATATTTGTTTTATTTCAGTGTAATATTTATTCAATATAAAATAGTTTCATATTAAACTTAGTGTGATATTTATTCAGTGTAATATCAAGAATTCATTTTGTTTTTGAGTCACAGTAAAATCCACTTATTAATATATATATTTCCATTATCTACAGTTGTATATGGATATTCATTATTGACTAATCATTGTTTTCCAGTGAAGTCTATGTATAAATGAGTATGTTTAATCGCTGTGTGTTTTAGAGGGTGATATAAAATTATTATCTATCATCAGTGATTATCATTTTTGTTTGCGTTGTGTAAACTTTAGTTTTGGTTTTCCAAATTGTACATGATATAGGATACAACTGGTTTAAGCTTTAAAACTGCTTTGACTAAGGGATAAGAAACAGTTTATGGTATGAAACACACATCACAATTGATTGATCACTGGGTGGCGATCAATGTCATGCGTGTCTAGTCCTTATTAGTGCAGATCGAATGCTATCGACCATATTGCAATGTGACTACCAGCCAAGTAGCACGAAACCCGGGTCCAGGGTGTCCTGACGACTACCTCCAACCACCATCTAATGAAACACACATATTAAGTAACGTCAAAGAATACCCTAGGATAACTGAAATTATTTCATTTGGTTGAGTGAAATTACTTGAAACCAGTAGATACTGACTTTTTAATGCTTAACAATCATTTCACTTACTACAGTATGTCTTCTTGGATGATTGTATGCATGATGACGTCTAAGACGAGGAGTATGATTACGTTGAACATAGGTGTTATTTGAAGTATCAAAAGAAGAATCTTGAATTATTGATGCGGAGTCATTTGTTGTTGTGTGATCGGAGCATTTTTCTTCTGTTTTCTGTCTACAAGACGGAATTGACTGAACTAATTTTGACAATCCAAAGTCAGACACAACTACAGAGTCATCCTAATGAAAAGAAAATGAGAAAACTTTGTAGAACGCTATTTTAATTCTTTTCAACAATCAATTCGTAAGACTAATTAGTCAGACAGACATCAAATGAATGATATTATGATGAATAAAACTTTCGAGACCAACTTATTGCAGACTTTAGTAGGTGACACAACAAAAAACAATTTGGTTTTTTTTGTGTGGGAAAAACCATGATAACTAGTTTAAACAAAGTGACAATTGTTTTGTATTATAACTATTAAGGGATTATATTATACGGTTGTCATAAAAAAATGGTTAGAACAATGTAATCCTTTCAGGGTACACATATACCAACAAAGACTGATCAAAATTCAGCCGTGATCATCAACAATGAGGTAATAGACTTTTACCGATAGCACAAGACAATGCACCTGTTGAACAAGTTGATGGCTAACTGGACAGAATAGCTGTCAGCAGATAACTCGACTTCTGAAGTAAAAATTATTGGGTTCGAGCCCGATTGTGAAGAACATCGAACAATGGGATGGAGGTATATCTAGATGATGGGTCCTATGTAGGACGAGAAGAAAGTCCTGGATTCCAATCCTGATATTCTAAGGAAGTGGTATCCAAGAGATTTCGGAGTCGACAGTGGCCATAAATGTAAAGTGTTACACGGTGCATCGGTTTTAGCGGCTTCCGTTTATCATTATGGGAGATCTTATTAAAATTCACTGTACTCTTATTTACAGCATCAAAGTGGTATGCTCCAATGGTACACGTAAGTTTTAAAATCCCTCTTATAAGGTAAAGGACAGAAAATTTAACAATAACAATCGACTACATAAGTTGAAGATTAAAAATTAGTTATGGAGTATAGATCACATAGCAATATAAAACGCAGAGATTTCAGCTGGTATAAAGTAATTGGGCTTATATAGTTATTAAAGCTGCAATATTTTGTGGATGTTTACTTGTGAAGATAAAAGTTCATACAATTTTTTCCATTGTAATATTCATGATTTATATGAAGGTTTTGAAGCAGCACGGATGCTCAAAACAAAACTAATATATTGATGAACCACTGAGTAGTAACAGATCTCATGGCTATCTAGTCCTGAGTGCTGGTCAAATCATACTGATCAAGTTGCAATGTGGTCATCGTGACTTCAGTCACTACTGTGATTAATCATTGCAAATATTTTAATTCTACAGGAGGTCAGTCACCACTCGAATAGCTCAACGATACCGTTTTAAACTATGATGCTGGTTGATGCAGCCTCGAATCCCACTAGGACAATTAGCTACCTAGAAGTTAGAGGTACCGGTTGTTTATAAGCGCCAGATGGCACGAAATCAAAGTCCGTAGTCCTCAGCCGACTAATTTCAGCCACTTAACATCAAAACAAAGTTAGTAGTTTTACTGACCATGCAATTTGATCTAAGAGTACCATAGCAACGGCAAAAAATGTAGTATAAATTAGGTTCACCAGCCATTTATTTCATTATGATCCCAAAACTTACGTACATTCCTACTAGTTTGGAATTAAACTTTTCAAACTAACATTTATTTGAACCCACACTACTAAATGATTCGATTAAAACAGTTTGACGTTATCTACTTCAATCTTGTTTGGTTTCAATTATATTTTTTGTTGAAAGAATTGTTTCTTTTAAGAAAAGAAATTTAAATAATACTAATAACGTTTCAAATCGTTAACACAATGAATAATGTTGATAAATAGTGTTTAATTAGCTTACTCGTCGTACAAGACAATTAAGAGTTGTTAAATCCCGATGTATAACATCATGTTTATGTAAATAAGCCTAAAAGTCGCATTAATAAAAATACAAATCGTGTTAATTCACAAAGAATAAATATTTTTTTGGTATTTTATTTACAATTAATGTAAACTGTTACATTATTTAATATTTTCATGGTTCAGAAACATTACTTACTTACTTACGCCAGTTACTCTCAAAGGAGCATAGGTCGCCAACCAACATTCTCCAGCTAACGCTGTCCTGGGCCTTCCTTTCCAGCTCTATCCAATTTTTCTCATGCCTGTCTCCATTTCTCGGTGTAATCTGTTCTTTGGTCTTGCTCTTCTCCTTTGGCCTTGAGGATTCCAAGTGAAGGCTTGCATTTTGATGCAGTTGAGTGCTTTTCTCAATGTGTGTCCTATCCACTTCCAGTGATTCTTCCTGAGTTCTTCCTCCATTGGGATCTGGTTTGTTCTCTCTCACAGTAGGTTGTTGCTGATAGTGTCTGGCCAACGTATCCGAAGTATTTTGCATAGACAACTGTTAATAAACACCTGTATCTTCTGGATGATGGCTTTCGTAGTTCTCCAGGTTTCTGCCCCATACAGTAGAACTGTCTTGACATTTGTATTGAAAATCCTGACCTTGGTGTTGGCTGACAGTTGCTTTGAGTTCCAGATGTTCCTCAGTTGTAAATATGCTGCTCTTGCTTTGCCGATCCGCGCCTTCACATCTGCATCAGATCCACCCTGTTCATCAATGATGCTGCCCAAATACGTAAAGGTTTTTACATCTTCCAAATCTTCTCCGTCAATTGTGATTGGATTGACGCATGCTGTGTTGCATCGAAAAATCTTGTTTTTCCCTTTGTGTATGTTGAGACCTACTGCTGCTGAGGCTGCTACCACACTGGTTCTCTTCTCCTTCATTTGTTGTTGAGTGTGCAATAGGAGAGCCAGATCATTTGCGAAGTCTAGATCGTCCAGCTGCATCCTAGCTGTCCACTGTATCCCATGCTTCCCCTCAGATGTTGATGTCTTCATGATCCAGTCGATCACCAGGAGAAAGAGGAAGGTTGAGAGTAAGCAACCTTGCCTTACACCGGTCTTTACCTCGAACGAGTCTGTCAGTTGTCCTCCGTGCATGATTTTACGGTTTAATTCATCACAGGAATTCCGTATGATATTGACTATCTTCTGAGACACTGTAGTGTCGAAGAAGCTTCCATGTTGTCCTGTCCACGCTATCAAACGCTTTCTCGTAGTCAATGTTGATATAGAGCGATGAATTTCATTCCATTGATTGTTCCACAGGTTCAGAAACATGGTATATTACAAAATATTTACTTGCAATAAAATAATGTTCTACAGCATATTTTCTTCTTTATGATGATGATGATCTTGGAAAAATCTTTTAAACTGTCAACATTATACTGATTATTTATTATAAACTGAACCAACCATTTAAGAACATCGCATATTTGTCTTTCAGGTCTCTGACAGATTTATCACGATAGGAACAGAACGGAATTTCTTTAGATCCATTTATGAATTGTAAGCAAGGTATTTAAGGACCTAGATATTAGTTTCGAGAGATTCTTGATAATTTAATCTAATTAATAACCGTAGATAGGGTAACCAGTTCACATATTTCTAGTTGCCAAGACACGTAAAAAAATATTACGTTAGCCTCTGTATACGATAAAACTTATTATTCAAACAAAATAAAGCGTCATTTTTAAATGAACAAACATTTAATCAAGTTACCCAATTAATTTTACAATAACACAATCGAGTAACTAAATACAGGTTCATAATCAGTCTTTGGGTCAAATATTCTTATGTGAAACGAAGGTGAATATCTTGTTGTTAAGACTGACAGAGCAAAACTCAAAAAATGAGAACCAAAGGTAGTCTTTCAACAAGTACCTACCTCATCGTTCAATTATGTGTTCACTAATGTGTATTTAAACATTGGGAATTTAACGAAATTAGTATTATTGACAAAATAATTTATATTTAATTGACAAAAGTATTCACTTAATAATTACAGTATATTTCCTTTCTCATTATAGATGAACAAATAAAATTTATCACTATAATGAATACGTTAACATTAAAAGAGTATGCTAATCATAATGTAATCCGCATTACTTTCTTTATTATCTATTTTTTCTTTTATCTTTTAAATTGTTTAGTTGACATTTATTCTTTCATTTATAAATTGATTAACACATAAATATATGACCAGACTGTTTGAAATATACTACTCTGATATATCACATAGTTCTAATAAAGTTCATCTTCTTAACGAATTATCTAGATTTATCGAATAGTCCGTTTATTTATTATAATCATAATAATTACACCTTAACAACAATAATGAGCTGCAACGTAGGACCAGGCATATATATGCATCGGTCTAAGTTGCCATACCTCAATAACACAAGAAGATGAATACCGAATTCATAGAAGTAGTTATTTCAATCGTAGTAGTATACAAAAGAAAGATTGCATATAAGAATATAGTATAGGAAGAAAGAATTAGTTGATAGAAAGAAAGATATAATGCATTTTTAATCTCATAGTTTAAGGAAAGACAGAGAGTGTATACACCTGAACCATGTCACACAGAGTCTCCAACCATTGATTACGATAGCTACGCGGACCCCAACCAAGTAGTCTGCATCTACCAACATGGCTAAGACTAGAAGTTAGTGACTTCAAGCACTGATGCCAAATCTTTGTTTGGCCATCCCTAACGTTCTTCCAACCATCCACAACACTCGTCAGCATTATGCGTCGGGGTAATCGGTGTTCAGGCATACATAACACGTGGCCCAACCATCTCAGCCAATAAAGATCCACAACTGATTTACCATCATTTCCTAATACCCTGCGTCTAAATTCACTATTACTTACCTGGTGATCCCAGCAGATGTGAGCAATAGTTCTAAGGCATCTATGGTAAAATAATAGAAGCTTACGAGTATTTTCTACTCTTAATGGTCACATTTGCAACCGTAAAGTAGAACAGAGTGAATTGCCGTGCGGATATCTCGCCTTCGTACGTGACGTACGTTGGCAAAAGCCAAAAGAACTTTCTAAATAAAACAAAAAATATTTTGAAAAAAAGAAACGAATAAACTTACCATCCCTGATGCAATATCACGACCAAATGTTATTATTTTAATCCAATCAAATGGATATTTAATTTTATCCAAGCATAATGAATGTAAACTACCTTTTTCAATATATTCAGTAATAAGACAAAATTGTCTATTTCGAATAACCACACCGACAATTGTTAAAATATTTGTATGTTTTAAATTTTGAAGTAATGAAACCTGTAACAAAATAAAAAAAAGATAATTAATTAAATGAAAGGTAAAAATATGATAATAAGATAAATTAATGAAATAATGATAGATATTATGTTGCTTGAAATTGTTAAATATCTTGGAAACAATATGGAAGAACTAGCACTAAATTAAATTACTTTATATTGATTTAGTTCATATGTTAATAGAATGTGAGTGGAGAAAATTACTAAGATGAAAGTCGAAAGTTGACATTATTGTCGTAAGAATGATGGATAAAAACTATACGTAAAGAACGTTTAGACAGAGTCGAATTTCCACCATAGACGATCTACTGTATAAGTCCGAGAGATGGTGCTACACAGTAGCTAGAGACGTTATCAGATATGGCTCAGAATAGAAGCCAGTGGCGATCGTGCTGTAACCTTATTTTACTTTCTTCGTAAAAAGTGGTTGTATCTTCCTTAACTGAAAGATTTCTTCTGGTTGTACCTTTCAGTTCCCCCATTATTACTATTATTATTATTTCACTACCTTACACCAATCTGTTCGTTATTGTTCTCTTTTTTTTACGCTCCTTACCTTTTTTTCCTTTTTCTTCTCTTTAAATTCTCATTGTTTTGTGTGGCGCATATATATTTGGCGCACTCTTGTACCAATATTTATGTGTTCAAATAATAATAATAATAATAATAATAATAATAATAATAATAATAATAAAATGCGTAAAGAACAAATATTTCGCAATTAAAAACAGACAGTGAAACTGAAGAATAAGAATTATGAGACAATATTAAGACTTTAGAATTGAACACAACTGTCTCCGTATGATACTGTAATCTTTGCATCAATTGATAAACGCTTAATATATAAGTAAACGTTTTATTATTATTTTTTTTTAATTATAACACAATACGTTTACGTTTGTTCACAGTCTTTTCTTGTCTTCAGCCACTGATCTATTATCAAATATTAGAGTACGTTTCAGACTGATTTGAGAATTTCTATATCACTACATACATTACCATGATTCATTTTAGATGCGTATCAATCTATGCAATAAAATGGTTTAAAGTAATGATTTTATTTCAAAGGGTTCTGATACAGTCATATAACTTCACGAATTGTTAGGGACAATAATCATTGATGAAGTTATGTATCAGTTTAAAACAAAACATCATAAAATAAGATTGTATTAGAATACAGTCGATTCTACTGAAATTCTCGCCAAATACAAATTAGTATACTCAAATTTCAGCCATAGTTTTAGTTGAAACGACTAACGACGCTAGGTGATTGTTTTGACCAACGTAGATTTATTATAGTTTTAGTTTAAATTTCTATACATCAATTATACTTATTATTAGTATTATTTTGTGTTAATGATTAGTGTTAAACCAACCGAAATAATAAGACAGAATAATTTAGAAACATAAATGAGCAGAATACATAGTTAAAACTTATATATACATATATGTGATGTTTTGCCGGGGATTGTATTCATACTGAAATGCATAATATCTACATTGACCTTAAAATATCGTAAAGATCACTAAGATTGATTGACCAAGGTGTATTATAGAGTTTTATTTAATTAGTAGTTTCTATTATTATTCTAATAAAAATTAGCATACATATCTATAGAAATATAAATTGCTACATAATCTAATTGCATGTGACTGAAAATGTTACATATGGAAAATTCCGTTAACTTGAAAATATTGAGAAACTTACAAAGTTACATGTATCAAAGAGGTAAGAGTTTTCAACCCGTATAAACTATTCAATAACTAATTTTGTAACATTCATATTATCATTGGAAAACAAATGGAGTTACAGAGATTGTGTAAAATGCTTCAAAGTGTGAACTTTCATTATATAAATAGTTTAACGTGTGAATACTAAAACGCCACATATATTTGCAATTCATTTAGCAAGTTATCATATTAGAAAGATACATTCAATCACTGCTCTATACCTGATTTGTATGTTTCATTTTACTACCAGTCAGTCAATCGGTCTCAAACAATATACGATATACTGCTACTCCAGCGAGTATCAAGTGTTGAGGTAGGTTGTAGTTGGTCAAACGTGTAGTGGGTCCTTATTTGGTGAAAATCTATAAACTTATTAATAGATTAATCATTTTCGTCTAGTACCACCTGTCTAACCTAGATAAAGCTCACTCTATGTTCCCAACACATGCGAGTAATGCTCTGAAGATATCTATGATTTGATACTAGCAACCAGCCCACGCTCTCTTCTTCTAAAGGTTATGTTTCACAAGCATATAGCAAAACATAGTGCATTGTTGAATAGGATACTGGTTCTTTGGTTGGTAGACATTTTGCCTACGGCGCAGCTAGCACAATTAAACAATTTCAACCGAGCTTTCTGGACATGGGTCGAGATTACATCAGATCCATCCAAACGGGACTGATGAGACTTCTACGATAAGTTGAGTGATTTACTCACTTAGACAACCCCAATTCAGGCGTTGACACGGAGCAGTCTTGAGAAACTTGGAATTTAGAGACTGAGAAACTCCATATATGCTTGGACTGCAGCTTAGGACGCTTAAGGGACTTCAATAAATGGACCAGGTAAAAATCATACTCTAAGTCACTAAATAAATCATCTGACCAGATGTCAGTCCCTTAAAAGTCAGATGAAGAACCCGTATCTATGCTTACAGAGAAGCTGAATAGAAATGGTGATACTGAGCAGCTCTGACAAACAGCGCTTGAGGCTGACAGTTTTAAAGATAGTTCTCCATAAGCCTACACAAAGCCTTTGCACTTTTTTTGTACACCTAATGATAAACATTGTCATAAAGTCTTTTGGTCTACGAAGTCGAATGCTAACTTCAATTCAAGTAATATTACTACTGTCGGACATCAGTAGGTATACCTTAGCTCTGAAACCTGACAAACGGTCAATATTTGATCGATACTTTGATATCCAGATTTGAAGCCACCCAGGTTTATGTGAGTTTGCTATTCACGAACCCTAATTTAGGGTTGCATATTTCCAGTGTTACAAGCGAGGACTTTGTTTGTGCAACTCACTCACAAAATAAAGATCCAGAATTTACGAAACAGGTCTAAATTCTAAACAATGAGAATCGCCTAAAATACTAGAACACAAAGGCCTGGGTTTATGATTTCCTAATGATTGCTTCAAACGTACAATATGCATAAAAGTTTAGCAAGGATGACAAGAATCTTCAAGAATCAGCGATAAAAACAAGAAATGCTTAAACTGGTAAATATTTCCAATAACAGATTACTTTATGAATACTTTTCGTATGAAAAATTAGATAGAGCCCACATAATACGTCTGATGTTGATTGTAAACTGGACGCATAGCAACTGAGCATTTGGCAAGAATAAATAAAACATAATTAAATACGTTTGTGCTAAGGGTCACTTTGAGATTATAAAAACTCTCCTTAAAGCCCACAAACTCAATAATAACCATAGAGTTACTAACTAGTATTCGGATGGGTCCTCTGAAATTCTATTAGGATGACGTGATCTGATGAGTGAATTAGGTTGAAAGTGAGACAGTACCTTACCGATGATAGTGGATAAGGATAACGCCACAAAACAACGTAGCTAAAGTTTAAACTATGAACCACTCCATTTCTACTCAATGGTCGAAAATTACTGTGTTGGACCCTTTTCCGTGTTGGTTCGTGAGTTTACATCACTAAGAAGTCCCGCCATGGAACGAAATATTAGACTAGTGAGCTGTGAGTTTTAATTGCTCTTCAAATGGCATCAGTCCTCAATGGGAATCATCTTCAAAATATACAAACATTTTTGTTAAACCCTCAAAACTAATAATCCAAACACAAACTTAAATGGAAAATGATATGATAAGCTGAGAGATTGCTGAAAAATAAACAAATGATCCAAATAGATAATTCAAAGCAATCATAAACTAACAATTTTTTATGTATTACAGACTATGTCCCTTAGCGTAGCTCCACCTGTAACCCCTCTGTGGCTAACTTCGGTCCCAAGCCGAGATAAAAGAGGGTTGGATATGGGGTTAGTGACCTCATCCCGTAGAAAACTAACTCGCTAAAAAAACGCTAAACAGAAAAAACAATTCATCCCTTCGCGTACTCTTAAAAATAGAATTATGTTCCTTACTTCGCGTATAATAGTTGCCTCGATTGCTTTGTTTTGTTCAATAACCTCTTTAAGAACCAACAAACAATTAGATTGTCGGTGTTTTACCTGAAATGGGACGAGGTGAAAAAGCAAATTAACACGGTTAACACATGTATAAATAAATACAAGCACACAATCGTGAGGTTTTTAGAATATTAGGAGACATGTTTTATGATAATCTTCGGATAATATGTCATTGTTATTACCTACTGTATAAACAATTATCGACCAGTAAATTGTCGCAGTCAAACATTTAAACCTATTATTATCACAACACTAGCATCATTTAGAGGAGTACCGAGAAGAATGGAAGGATAGACAAGTTGTTTGTTCAAGTTTGTGACTTTCCGGGATTGTACACCTATGGCTTATGACATGAATGAGCTCAAACTATAGTGTCCAGGCCAGTACAATCTCACTTTCGAATTGACTTACTCGTTATGAATTTTCGGTTCAATGTTCACTTAGCTTTGCATTCTTCAAATAATTATTTGGATATACATTACTTCGTCAGACAGAAAAGAAGTACTTTGTAATAAACTGGAAGGACTTTGCGTCTATGAGGAAGAGCTTTGCTCTTAAATAGGGAAATCCTGCAAGTACAAACTAATGAAAATTGAGAAGTTTCACCAATATGCTCTTCTAAGATAGCGACAGATTACATTTTTAGCATCAATAACGATAACGTATTAAATGCAATGTTTTATGAATAGTTGAAATAAGTTAAATAAAACAGACTATTTGAATTAACTTCTCTATTGTAGTGTTTGAAGATGCAATAAAATGGTGTCAAGGTTGCTTCCTCAAAATTTGTTTCAAAAGTTCGGCAACCGGAAAGACAAGACAAGAGCACATTTAACGAAAAAACACAAACAACTAAGCTGAATGAATGATAAAATGCATGTATACAAATTCATCTCGCTCAAAATTCACATCAGTTTAAGGCCTTCTTATGACCAAAAAGTTTCACTTTTTAATTCTCACGTGTTAAACTATGCAATTATATGTCAGTTTGTGCGATAAATTATCATGTGAAAGTAAATGACAATATTTAGTGACATCTTCAAAACAGTGAATATTCCGACCCACAATCAAATTAGTTATAGGTAAAACCCTTAGGCCGTTAATAAGCAAATCGTCACTAAATAAGTCCAAGCTAGTAAGGTAATACAATGTCTCTTTATGAGGACTCTCAAATTAACATATGGTGTTTGAAGTTGTAAGTAAACTTCTACAATGATGTAAACTATTTCTCTTTAGACTCTACACATGCACGAAAATATTCTTTGTTTGACATCTTGCACTGACATTTTCATGTGGTAGCACCCAATGTATTTGATCAACAATAATTGAAAACACGGTTATAATAATAACAATGATAATAATAATAATGCAGCAAAATGCTATTTTAAGATATCAAAAACGATTAGTGATAATTTGCTACTTGCAAGAATTACAAACTATCTCCTTAGTAATGGAAGTCAACCTACTTTTATAGCTCTACCATATGCTCCACTTCCAATTTCACCTAATATTTCTAGATCTTTCTCATCTATATTCGGAGGAAACTCTACCGTGGATCTAACACTAGTCGTACGAGTCAATGAAACACGATCACATTCTTCTTGAATGGTGCATTGAGCGTCTGAACGTGAAAATCTACAACTAAATATAGTTATTGACAGCTTTGCAAAATTATTACCCATGATCCTTGCTATCATTTCGTAAAGATGAACTCTAAGAAAATTGATATTACTTCACTTCCGATGGAAATGATCTTACAGTCTGAAGCTTCTTTGTTAACATTCGTTTATTTGTGAAATTTCCAGGTTCCTGGGAAGTCAAAATTTACTTAAGTTTTACTTCTAGTAAAGAAAACAGATAAGAAAAGCTTTAATCTGTCATATACTTCGATAATATAGTTTGATAAATTCACAGATTGTGGCAGCTTCATTTCATCTAGCTAAGCAATTTTACATTTATACCACGAGTTCATAAAACACGTTCACACAAGCCTATACTTGTTTGAACAGGTATAAAGCAAAATAATTGTGTGACAGTTAAATGTTGCTTCTATCCTAAATAGCATTGTTATTTTTCAAGAAACGTAATCCAACAATGCCTAAAACAGAGGACGATTATCTGAATGGTCTCAAACCTGGCAGTTGCCGATAAATACTTCTAAGTGTGTTGTGATGCATATCGGCCATCATGGTACAGATACATACACGATGAATAACACTGAGCTACCTGTCGTCCAGACATTTAATGACTTAGCCAAGACAAAAGACTACTGCACACTGCCGTGCAATAGCCGCCAAAGGTTTTAGAACGTTATGGTCAATACGTAGGGCTTTAAGTCATGTCAACGCTAAGACGTTTTTGACTTTGTATACAGTGTTCGTACGTCCTAAACTTGAGTACTGCATACAAGCGGCCAGCCCCTGCTTACAAAAAGACAATGAGGTTCTGGAAAAGCTTCAGAGAACGGCAACTAAGCTGATTCCCGGAATAGCGAAGCTTCCGTATGAAGCTCGACTGGCCAAGCTGAACCTTTTCCCGTTGTCGTATCGCAGAACTAGAGGCGATTTGATTACAGTTTTCAAATTGCTTAGTGCCACATTCGCACCTCAAATGCCATCATTTTTCTTGTCTTCCAAAACAGAGAATTTACGAGGACACTCCAAAAACGTTCACAAGCAAAGAACAAATTACTTGTCAGCTGAATATCGACATTCCCATTGAATCATCAACGAGTGGAACTTATTACCTCAGCACGTGGTTGAGGCTCCATCCGTCGATTCTTTCAAAAGAAAGTTGGATCAACTGAGGGACCACCATTGCCAGGACTAACACAGGCCATCAGGCCTCCTGTCCTTCCCAAACTGAAACTGAAACTGAAACTAATCCTAAAGTCATAATATCGCGTTGATGTAGAGAGGCTTAGATTTATCGACAACAATCTACTACATAACGATTTAGATAAAACTATTTTATCTAATCACCATAGAGGTAATATAAAATTAAGGAAGTATATACTAAAACTGAGAAATAAGTTCTACAATAAGCTTCACATGACAACATATCAGTTCAAGTAGCTTAATGTAGAAAAGCGAAAATGTGATAACTGTCATAGACGAGAGGAAAAAAAGAATATACAATAAGATCAGGTTTATGGAAAGATAAACCACAGATGCATCTGGAATATTTTGATCAGTGTAAACCATTAACAATAAATTCATTATTTGTTGAACTCAGGTTAAAATCCTTTCTCTAATACCTGGTCAGTAGACTAAACAACCAACTCTTAGAGATGAGACTAAATCCACCACTCAATGCCTTTGAGAAACTTTGGTATCATGTACTGTTGCCACGAATTACAGTGATTGCATAAAACGACCGTAACTCGGTAGATTATTACAAGCGTCTTTTGTATCCCCTAAAATCAGCAAGATCATGACTTGTGGACGAACCAATGTAAGTAAAGATGGCCAATCTTGTACTTTGTCTTGAAATGTACTCATCCATATAGTTAAAGCGCATTTTGGCATAATATTTGATATCAATTCGTGATGAAAAACTTACTTGAATTCTGAATCTAAGTACTGATCCCAATTCCCTATACTTATTTGTTAACTCCATTCGACTCTGGTGGGCAGGTAGGTTTTCTCAAAGTCACTACCATCGCCCAGATGTTTTAAAAGGCAAGGTCGTCCATAGTTTTATTGTCTACCACGTGCGAGATATGAAGCTTGTCGAAGTGTTAGAGTATTTATTAGCTGTTTTAGCAGTAGCAGCTTATCAAAAACAGAATCCCCATAAAGATAAGCATGCTCCTAACTTTGGAACAAAATGAGCCAATTTTGGTTGTATTCTCTCCACCTTTCAGCGTATACTAAATGAAAATACGCAACTCAAAACGTTTTGTTAAAAATATAGCGCAAATCATGACTAAAAAGTCTCACCACTAAATATAACAGAATCCCAGGTACCTGTCACTGAAAGTAGGATTAAATATGCACTACATAGTTTACACTAATAAAACAGCCAAATGGTACATTGAAACAAACGTTAACTGAACAAAAAATTATTTTAAAGGTTTTTACCGTCAGTATAAATTCGCCTTTAAATGTGTTATCGAACTCATTTCGCTTCACAACATTCTTCTTACGTTCTTCAAAATGACAGGATGTACTGTTTATGTAAACGTTATAGGAATTTCAAATGACAAGCGATTATTACTAGCTCGGTCACCTTGCCATAGTTCTTCGAAATTCGTTGCGAATTATAAAACTCTACAGCATTTTTGGTCTGGTTGAAATAAGTAAATTAAGGTTATTTGTTTGTTCAACCATGATAAAAACCCTTACACCTCTTTACATCAGCTTGTATTGTAGATAGATTTTCAAGAGATATTCCCCTTCCGAATCACTTACGCTACATCACGCGAAAATTTTATGCATTAGGACTAGTTTTGAGGTTTCAGAACCGATTCCCCATTTGTGTTCGCTGTTGCAGACTTGCATTTATCAATGCTTGGTATAGGTTTTGTAGTGTCTACTAATATATCACGCCAATTTCAATCACTCTCGCTTTTTTCGACATCGGTTAATTCATGCTTTTCGGGTTATTATCCACAAATGTTTTAGAAGTTCGTTTACCCTGACGAACATTGACAGATGCTAAGCGAATCGCAGAAGGTTAGCGGGCGAAGCGTGACTCCCTGTTTATAGCCAGACGGAAAAATTAGTCAGCCTTTTGATGGATTGAGCACACACATATACGCTAATGAAGAGACAATCAATGTTACAAAGAAGTAGCTGGCTTTTCATACCCATATTATTATCACCAGGTTCAGTAGAAAGAATTAAAATGCATTCTAGCGGTAAATAAATTTCCAAAATAAATAGCTCTGTGAGTTTTCAACATTGGATGCTGACCACATTGGTTTTAATGGACTCACCTAGCTGAAGTCATGCATCCGCAGCAGATTACGAGTGGGAACGCCATGCTCAACATCCCTTGCAATCGCTAACCAGATTAGATCAGACGAAACTCAATATATTTATAATTTGCCAAATATATCTTCGAACCTCCTCACTTGTCTCCTTTGATTTTACTTGATAAATGATTCATAGGAGACGACGTTACCGGATAAAGCGTTCTAAAACTCGGAAAAACTGTGGCAACTTCACAAAATTTTATTAACACCAATATCATTCGATCGTTTGGAAATACAATCGCGAAACCTAAAACTGTTTTCAATGAAAGCAGATATGTGTAGGTTTCGCCAGAGCAATATGTAAAAGGGAACGACATACTTTTAAAGTAAATCCTCAACTGGCTTTACTTGAATCTACAATGATATTTATATGCATACATGAAGCTAATAAGTCAATCATGGCAGTTTATTAATCACTGATAGAAGTGAAATAAATCAGTCGATAAAATTTTAAGTAAAAGTACAAATTGACAGTGTGATGGCAGATGTACTAGCTGAGACAAGAATAATAAAGGCTTGAATAGACGTTTCATAATAGGAAGTTGGTCAATTAATTGAAGAATATAGACTCTGAAGTAACATACATTCAAACTTACAAGACTGCGCAATAAGAAGTGTTTAGATTATTTGGCAGAAAGGCGTGTGTCGGAAAAAAGGGGTGGAATGATAATAACAGCGAGGATGGAAGATAACAAAAGAACAAGATATTTTGTTGAGGCTGATGCGGCAAAAGGAGAGGTGGAGGTCTAGCAAAATTTTTATGAATACGAAAACGTGATTTGTTAGTTCTAGTCCCACTGGCTTCTGCCATATGCAAGAGACGAGATTAGGTCTAAAAAAACTCGTGGATGCACGGCAAATCACTTCAGATGGTTTCTTCTATCTACTTGTCGAACGCTGCCCTGGAGAAAGCTATATTGGGTGCATAATTAGACAAGTGAGCCAATTAGTTAGTGAACATTTCCATTCGTGAAATTAATATACAGCTCTGCCTATCACAATCGGTCGAAAGCATTTATGTAATAGATAAAATGAAGCCATTTGAGGCAATTTATAGTACACTAACCAGTTTTCTTAAATTTTTATATTTTGCTGGTTATTTGGTCTCTGTAAACTATCACACTGTTAACACTGACTGATAAAATGCCTTGAGTAGTCTGACAATTTCAAACATGAATATAAATATTATTGTATTTTGGAGTGAAAGGTGATGAAGATTGCACATTTATCCACGTTGTTCTGTTTAAACAAGTCAATTTTTAAACCAGTGTATCTTCTGGGCCAAGTATACTCGACTTTCCATTCATATGCTAGACAAAGCGTTAGCTACTATATGACTGCAAAGACACGCTTTTTAGATTTCAGCTTGCGCTTCAGAATAGTTCTGTCGATAATCCCAAACATCACTCAGCAATCTGGATACTAATAACAATAATTATCATTAGTACATCTAGGTACGCAACATGACAGGTCTTAAAATTTAATGATGAGGAAGATAAAGCTGAATGTGCATTTATTCTATATGCGTTTTAACTATATAAACAGAGGTTCTAAAAGTGCAAGTGTTACGAACACTGAAATAAGAGATTATGCAAGAAATAACTGCTCAAAATTTGTTGTGGGAGTCAACTTTAATTTCAACCTTTGAATTACGTTTCCGGTTAGGCTCTAAAATCGAAATATGTTTTCTTTAAAATATCAAGTAACTCTGTAGTGGCATTGGACAATAACCACACGATCCACAAAGCTGAACACAAGACTACTCAGAAAATAGATATTCAATATTTAACGCGGAGAAATACCTAACGATGGCGAAGGCGCGAACAATGAACTGAATGAATTGGAGTTGATCGAATAGCATGGCTCGGCCATGCAGGCGTGGTCCCTTTTGAATATTATCATATATCTTTTATTCATATTAAATATGTTGTTCCTTCTCTAGCCTAAGCTTGTTCTTCATATGTCTTCTTTAAAATATCAAGTGTATTCACCCTTTGATCGATTTTCTACGTCAACAATATATAAGAAAACTCTGTGTCAGAAAACTATCCTGTATGATGAATAAACATAAAATTATGGACAGTTGTTTTCTGAGTTTGTTGTTTGTTAGGACAAATAAAGGCTCTACTCACTTTACTTAATACCCAGACATTTTTCGCAGTTCCATGAGATGAGACATCTAGGGACATGGGTGCATAGCTCGGCACCTACCATTATTCTACTGTGCTCTTCGTAACATGGCTTCTATAAGTTTCTTGAAAGGAAGTTTATTTAGCATTAGAAGTAATAAGAAGCATCTTTTTGAAAGAAAATTTCTAACATTTGCTTCATGGTTTTACATATCATCAGTTTTGAGCTTAACTTAACTGCTGTGCTCAGACATAGCGTGTGTGCTTCGGAACATCCCCATCAGCATATTGTCCATTGTGTGATGAATGTCAGATTTTCCTTTGGATTAAAGATGTAGTACGCCCAGTGACGTCATGTTCTGTGAAATAAAAATAATGTATAAAACGACGTTTTGTCTTCTCATTGTTGTTTGCATTTCAAAAACATGAAGAAGAGAAAAACAACTAGCTTCCTTTTCGAGACATCCTGATTAGTAGGCGAGATGATGGCTTCATCCAACGTCCTTAATTTGAAAGTCAATATGGACAGGGCAATATCTCAATTTTCAAAGTCACTGCCCAATTCATTACAAACGTGGATTAATAAAGGGCTTATCCAATAGTCACTTACTTACGCCTGATACTCCTCGTGAAGGAGCATAAGCCGCTCTCCAGCATTCTCATCCAACCCTGTCCTGGGCAATCTTTTCTAGCTCCGTCCAGTTGTAATTCATCGTTTTCATATCTTCTTCTATTATCCGACGCAATGTGTTCTTTGGCCTTCCTCTTTTTCGCTTCCATTCAGGATTCCAAGTTAGGGCTTGCCTCGTGATGCAGTTTGACGATTCGCGTAATGTATGTCCTATCCATTTCCATCGTCTTTTCCTAATTTCTTCTTCAGCTGGAAGTTGGTTGTTCTCTCCCACAGAAGGCTATTGCTGATGGTATCCGGCCAATGGATGTCCAGTATCTTGCGTAGACTTGTTCAATAGAATCCGTCATACTTGTACTAGTGATACTATTGAAGTAGAGACGAAGATCTTGACTGATACGATAATGAACTGTGGTTATTCATTAAAGTTTAAAAATCGCTGGAAGGGTTGCAATACAACTAGATCTATGGTGCTTATGCCACCGAAAAAGCTAGTTTACATTACGTTACCATTCAGAGGCGATACAAATGTTCTCATATTGAAACGGAGAATTAAATTAGCGATCAACGGACATTTTATGCAGCCCAACTTGTCATTATCGAAAAGACAAACTCTTTGTTTCACCAAAAGCCCAAACAGCATAAAAGCGATTGTATCACAACCTGTTGTGTCTACCAATTTACATGTATGTTCGGAAACACGTACATACGGAGGAGCAGCCGTGATTTGCAATTAAGGGTGGGTGAATACATACCGAAATATATTCCAGTAGTCAAATAAAATCACAGGATGAACAGACATCATCCTTCATTTGATTGAGACTAGTCATAACGTTGACATTAAGCATCTCACTAAGCCAGCATTTGTAATGTTATACAAAAGCTTCCAAGGACGTATACTAAGGTTTATTGAAACCTCGGCTATACGGAAATTGAAACCCCATTTATGTGTTTAAAAACAATCTTTCTTCACATTTACCCTACCCTGTTAATGCTGATTTATTATCTAGAGTGGTTTTCTCATTTGTTTTTGTGTACTTTAATATTATTATTTCTCTATTATGGCTCACCTCTACAATGTCTAGTTGGCCTTTTAATTTCCATATGAAAATGTCATGACGAGTATACGTATGGTCAGATTGATCGAAATGTATTGCTCAAATATATCACATATTCTGATAAACTTCGTCTTTTCATTGCATTATCGAAATTATCAAAGGTAC